CTAAAACACATAAATGACAAACAACAAAACTGACAAAGACAAAGGTGGTTAAAGTAACAAATGGACAAGTTGGTGTGAAGACACCTGAGCAGGTGAACAGCTGCGAGAGGTTTCAAATTACATTGAAAGAGAAAAGAAAAGATTTTTAAAAAAATGACAAAATGACACAAATCAAAAATATCCCAACTGCCGACACGTACAAAAAAATGTCGGAAACATTCTGCATTCCCATTGATAATTTGCGTTCATATTAGATTAAATAAAGATGGTAGCTATAGACTCCGAAAAGACCCAGAGTGCATTTAAAAAAAAATATGTAATAAAGGCTTATTTTGTACTTATAGCATCTCGTAGCTAAATAGTAAAGCACCCATACTTGAGAGTGGGTTTTCAGTTTTAAAACGAAATACCAGTTAGATTCTTATCAAGAATTAAATTTTCTTTAATAAAACTATTGATATGTTTACTATTGATGTTTTCATTGATGTTTATTTTTGTCATGTGTATTATTGATATGTTTATTATTGATGTTTACTATTGTTATTTTTAATATTGATATGTTTACTATTGATATGTTCATTATTGATATGTTTATTATTGATATGTTTACTATTGATATGTTTATTATTGATATGTTCACTATTGATATGTTTACTATTGATGCTTTTATTGATGTTTATTTTTGTCATGTGTATTATTGATATGTTTATTATTGATATGTTTGCTAATGTTATTTTTAATATTGATATGTTTACTATTGATATGTTTATTATTGATATGTTTTATTATTGATATGTTTACTATTTTTTTTGTTATTGATATGTTTACTATTGATGCTTTTATTGATGTTTATTTTTGATATGATATGTTTATTATTGATATGTTTGCTAATGTTATTTTTATTATTGATATGTTTACTATTGATATGTTAAGTATTGATATGTTCACGATTGATATGTTTACTATTGATATGTTTACATAACCAATAAATACGTTTCGTTTACCAATCCTGTATACCTACTTTTGCACCCCCTGTATAAATTTTAAAATGATAACTAATAATTTAGATAAATCGTTTAGAAATACTTCTGTTTCCCGCTCATGATAATCAAAGATGGATTGCAGGTTTACGACCAAATCACGTTGAAATACCTGTTCCCGTTAGATGACCGAAATTAATCAACGTCGAACCTAGTCAGTACCTAGACGGGTGACCGCTTCAGAATACCAGGTACTGTAGGCTTGGATGTGCAGGTGGTGTAATGTTTAAAGGCTCGGAATTGTTGGTCGGTGATCCGAGTTCTAATTCCCATCGGAAATTCACTTGCGCAGATTCCCCTGGGAAAGGTATGAATCCATCGCTTCTACCTCTAGCTATAGGTTAATTTGTAAGGCCTTGTATCACTAATCTATTATCATCTCAAAAAATTCTAACAATCTAAACACATTTCCTGGCTTTAAATAACCTGAAACCAACCACAACCAAAGACAGATTTCGTTAAAAACAAAGTAAAGAGTGCTGAACTGTTATGATGGACAATCTACCAACAGATGAAACGAAACTGGAAGCTACAGAAATGTGGCTCTACAGAAGGATACTGAGAATTCCATAAAGGGAGCAAGTATGCAACGAGGAATTCTTAAGGAAAATAGGAACAAAAAATACATATTCCGATTTAAAACAGCTAAAAATAATGAAGAAGAAGGCTTGGAAAATGTCACAGGACATATCAAGGACAAGATGGACAGGGAAAGTTACACACCTGAATAGATGGCGTAAACTGGTGCAGGAGGCTTGTCAAAGAGACTACAAGGCATAGGGATAGAGGCTAAAGAAGAGACTTGTTTTGGCTGTAATGGCTTCTCGTAGCTGAATAGTAAAGCATGCATGGCCTGAAGGTAGTTTCCCAGTTTAAAAGTTTGACCACCTATGCCAAGAAGTGACACGGCCCATAAAAGAAGAAGAGGAAAAAAAAAAAGAAAGAAATAAAGAAAATTACTCTTTTTATTTTAATTATTCGTCGAGAGTTTGTCCGGCTTTAATAGAAATTACTCAATGGCACTCATTACAAGTGACTCCCAACACATGCGCCATATCTACCATCTCTTAGTAACGCAACTAATCAAAGAAAAATTTTATTAAAACGATTTTATTTAGGGTTGGTATATTTTTGAGTGATGTCATTTTGGTAGTAAAGTAACAGAAATGAAAAAAGTTGAGCGGGGAAAAAAAACTAACATGAAACCAATAAATAACAAATATGGGAACGTATAAAAATGACACTGAAAACAAAAGTTGAGAAAATCAAACGTGAAAACAAATGCTAACAAATTCAAAGATAAAAGAAAATGCATAACATGACAACAATGAAAATCGGAAATCATGAAGAAATAATCAAAACATAAACAAAAAAATAGTATGTAGCTAACCACGTGACTTAAATCGAATTATTTTATTAAAAGGTTAAATTGCAATTCAAATTTATACCAATTTCACTAAGTCAGGTTGAAAAATAACTCCCCTGACAAAGGTGACAGGCAATAATTTCCGCCTGAATTTTTCGTATTTCTATGAATTTCGGGTTACACTTATTTACATTATTGACACACGGACTATTGTTCTAACCTTTGTTGTGGTCATCTACCAATTACCGTAGATTAAATTAAGGGTTCAATTCGGAATTCCATGTACATCGATATACACTTGAGGAAGGCCGGCGAGCACAACTACCGAAAGGTTGTTAATAACAACAAAGATGGGGACAATAGTCCGAATGTAAGAAATATACATAATTAACAGGCAATGCTGATTTGTTTTTAATGGATATCATATTTGTGATGTATCTAAACAAACGTAATTATATACGTGCACACAGAGAACAGATGCAAGTGAATATATATATATATATATATATATATATATATATATATATATATATATATATATATATATATCCGATGCAATGAGAAAGAAAATAATATATAAATTTTAACGTTCACAGCATTAATCCAAAAGAGGGCTCGATACTAATAGTAGAACAATAATTATTTATTATAATTTTTTCATATAGACTAAAACATTTACTCACTACAAAGATGCAACTTCGTTTCAGTGCATTTCAATTGCAACTCGACGGGTGAGAACCAAAATTGGTTATCCAATGAAATGCACCGAAACGAAGTTGCATCTTTGTAGTGAATAAATGTTTTTTGTCTATATGAAAAATTATAATATATATATATATATATATATATTATATATATATATATATATATATATATATATATATATATTATAATTTATATATATACATTATATATATATTTAGTTTCGATCCTCAGACAGTCCGAGGATCGCAAAAGCGTGAAATCCAGGGGTTAAAAACTCACATCCATACAACTAAATATGTTACCTCTATGACTGATATTGAGCGCTTTCCAATAACTACTGCGCATATATAATCTATAAATAATATATATATATATATATATATATATATATATAAATATATATATATATATACACATACACACATATGCGTGCGTGCGTGCGTGAGTGCGTGCATGTTAGAAGTACGAAGTATGTCAATGAGGAAACTTTTGGTGTGACGCGTTTCATCCTTTAGGACAAGTTTATGTTTACACTGACGCATCTACGCATGCGCACGAATGAGAGAGGCTGAGATTTTTTAATTTAAAAATATTTTTTCTATGTATTTTGTGTATATAATCAATTAAGTTCTTTTTCTTCTTTTGTACAAGAATCCCGCGATTAACGCGTTTTCGTTTTTATATACCAAATTTCGATTAGTGTATACATAATACTTGATTACTATGATAAAAAATTCTTCACTTTAACCATCATAATTGAAAAGTGATTTTGTTTATAGTTACCGATTAATGAAAACATTTTCTAAAATTTAAAAATGGAAAATGAGTAACAATTTTGTTCGTCAAGTGTTACGCTATCTAAGTAATTACATTAGTGTTAAAAAAATACAAGGTTATGAATAGATAAATTTTATAATATAAGCAGATAATAAAAATACATATTTGAATATTTGTCGGTATTAAAACATTTTGAATATTTTTTCATGGTTATTTTGATGTTCTTAAAAAGAAATTTCTAATTTTTTGTTTAAAAACTTGGGTGTTTTAATTAGATTCTTAAATTTACGTTTATTAAAAATATCGAAAGATATATAAGCTGTATTCATTTACTATGGAAAGATTATAAATAAAAATGTTCATGTTAAAATACTAATGTTTATGATATGTTTGGAAAATCTGAAGGTGCAATTTCTCAGTGCCGCCATTTATATGAACAGAAGAATACCATGCGGCAAACAATTCTAAATAATTTTTCATAGAAAAATCAGGTTAATAAAGATTAATTTACAGCATTTATATTGTATTTTTTATACGTACCTATATTTTAATTAAAATACAAAAATTAGAAATTAATTGTGAATGAGACTAAAATTTGAGGTACAAATTACATCACTTCCTATAAGTTATTATATTCGATTAATGCGTATTTTTAATGAACACATTAACCGCACTAATTGAGGGATTCCTGTATTTCCATCAAATATCCTACATTGTGATAACAGAAGATCTGTCAACAATGGTGAAACGCTGTAAGAATCTGAGCGCAAATTTACTGTGGATGATCTAGCGATTAAAGCACTTAATTCTCTAATTATATGAGAAAACAATTTACAAAGACGATAATACTTAGAAAGTTCTTAATCGCTAGATTATCCAGAGTAAATCTGCGTCCAGGTTCATACAATGTTTCACCATTGTTGGCTGATAGTCTATTACCCCAATGTGGGATATTTAATAACAAAAGTGATGGAAATATGAACAAAAAGAAAAAAAAATGAAATCGGCTGGATACAGAAAAAAAAATTTAAATTTAAAATTCCCAACGTCTCTGCTTGGTGCGCATGAACGGAAGCATGAACGGAAGCATAAACTTAATTCGATGAAATCCC